CCTTTTTTTGGCGCAATTTAGGATCCGGGAAGTGTTGTGGAGCTTCTCCGGTATCCAACCACTGTACCGAACGTCGCCGGTTGTTGTAGAGGATCCACTTCTCATCACACGTGACAATCTGCTCGAGAAATGGGTCGTTTTTGCTGCGCAGAAGGAGCGTAGAAGACACCTCAAAACGACGATTTTTTGATTATCGTTCAATTCATGCGGCACCCATTTATTCAACTTTTTTGACTTCCCTATTTGCTTTAAATGGCGAACGGCTGTTGAGTGGTCGACCTCGAGTTCAACAGCAACTTCTCGTGTGGTTTTGCGAGGATCGGCTTCAATTAAGGCTTTCAAATGTTCGTTATCAACCGCAGTCGACCGGCCGCGACCGTCTTCATCTTCGAGGCTCTCGTCACCATTACGAAATTTCTTGAACCACCGTTGTGTCACACGTTCGTTAGTGGTTCCTGGGCCAAACGCATCATTGATATCACGAGCTGTCTCGGCAGCTTTTCGGCCTAGTTTGAACTGGAACAAGAAAATCGTGCGGATTTGAATTTTGTCCATGCTGTTGAAAAACCTGCAAAAAAATGAATGAAGAGATTGAGAACGGTAACGAATAACACGATTCGATAGAGCGAAAAACGCGCTTCAAAATGATATATAACATGGCTATATATATCAATGAATTAATTCAGAAATCATATATAAAAGTAACATATATGAGAAAATGACATTATTTTTGCACCAACCTAATAACAGATATACTTACCAACATTACACAAAAATATCTTAAAATACAAAAGAGAAAAATTATTCAATAAAATCGCCATCGGCTTCAACCACGGCGTCCAGGCGGCTTCTGCACCATACCACACAAACAGGAGAACCCTGTCATGGTTGCCAGATAATTTCTGCGACCACATCACCCCTTCCATCTGACAACCAAACTCCCCAGACTACATACATATATATATATATATATATATATATATATATATATGTTCAGTTGTATGGATATGAGTTTGTGGCCCTGGGTTTCAATAAGTACTGCGCATATAAAAATATATATATATATATATATATATATATATATATATATATATATGTGTGTGTGTGTGTGTGTGTGTGTGTGTGTGTGTGTGTGTGTGTGTGTATATATATATATATTGCGCTGTTATTTGAATGCATATAAGATCAAAGCCATCTGTGTATGGTGGGCCCAGTCTAAAATAAAAATTGTTAACATTTATGGAATGCGACATTCCATAAATGTTATCAAATTTTACCATTTGCGTTTGAAGTCATTATGTGAAGTTTTTTCTTTAGAATAGCATAGTTAATTCTTTATGCAAAAAAGAAAAAAATTAAAATGACATATCAAATCCATCATATCTAAAGAAAGTAGTACTAAGTGAGTGAATGGTACGTCAATCCAAACTATTAAGTAAATAATTCAAATTTCTCAATTCTAGAGACTATCCACTGAACGACGAGAAAGAAGAAAGGAAACAAAGAAAGAAAGGTTCACATCTCCGAGATTGTTTTGAAATGTCACGAGTAACAATTACTAGAGTTGGAATAATTTTTACCTTTTTATCTATTAGTTCAATAAGACTTATCCTATCAGAAAGTAATTTTAATGTAATTGCTGCTTAAGATCATACCGCGTTGAAACACCGATTCCCGTAGGATCACCAATGTTAAGCGACGTTGAATCTGGAGGAGGCACGGTGAAATAATAGGAATCGGAGAGCCGAGTTCGAATTCCTGTCGAATCCATTAGTCACTTACGTGCTAATACCCTTGGGAAAAGTATGAATTCTATGAGTAAATAGCAGGACAAACCGGTTGACTTGGATGGTTACTGTATAAAGAAATGGCAACCTACTGCGGGAAAAAAATCTCAATACATGATCGCCTAATCGTGTATCACGCATGGCACTGACCTAGAAGAGTGACCATTTAGCCATACCAAGTAAACTTGGATGCGTGGGTGGTGTAATGGATAACGGTTCAGAATTGGAAATCGGAGAGTCGAGTTCGAATTCCAGTCGTTATATTCACTTACGCGCAAATGTTCCTCGAAATGATATGTCGCTACCTCTTCTCCCCCTGCTATGGGTTAATTAGTAGAACTTGTATCAGTAAATCATTATTATCTCCCAAAAATTCTTACAATCTAAAAGTATATCATGGCTTTAAATAACCCGCGAAAGGTTGATAAGCCGTAAAAATATGAGATCAATAAAGTGATAGCTATATATAAAATCAAGCAAAATTAGGTAGGATTATCAAAGATTATCTAGCGCTAGATACCGGAATACTGCGTGCTAGCTACAAGATTAGCTAGTTGAAGTTGGCTTGTTACCTCGATTTGATGGCTGTGCAAGCAAATGCTTCCGATGTCCCCATCAAGGTACACCGTAAAGTTATATTCTATTCGGATGTATTGAACTGTTTAGATTGATTGATTTCTTCCCAAGTATTAGAAAAATGTGGGGGACAAATGAAGTAGTTCGTTTCAAAAGGTGTGGCCCCGGGGTCTATGACATGCTGGAGTCGTTGTGATCTATCCAGATATGTTTCTCGGTTGTCCATAACTGAGTTGTACTTGTTGGGTGTGACTGCTGCATGGAATTTTCCCATGTATGCTCAATGAGACTTCAGTCAGGCAGGCGTTTGAAAGTTATATTCCCATTTTAAATAACCTGAAAAGGGTTGATAAGCCGTAAAAAACAAATCAATAAAATCATTGCTGCATTATTAAATCGAACAAAATTAGACAGGATGATTAAAGATTCTCTCGCATCAGGTAGAGGAATACTGTGAGCTAGCTACATGATCAGCTTTTTGAAGTTAGCTTGTCACTTGAGTTCGAGCAATATTGATATGCGAGGTGTGCAAACAAACGCTTCCGATGTCTCCATCAAGGTACACCGTAAAGTTATATTCTATTCGAATGTATTGAACTGTTCAGATTGATTGATTTCTTCCCAAATGTTAGAAAAATCTAGGGTACAAATGAAGTAGTTTATTTCGAAAGGTGTGAGATGTTGTCTACGGGATGTTGGAGTTATTGTGATGGTAGATCTATCCAAACATGTTTCTGGGTTGTCCGTAACT